ATCCCCATCTCTCGGGGGAAGATGCCTCCGATACCCAAAATTCAGAGACGGGCATTGTGCCCCAGCCTCTGCATCTGCCTGTTTGAGTGAAACCCACGAAATTCCTCTGGTTTCCCCCACCCGAGCTTCCCCACCTGTCAAACGACAGTAGCTGCTCACGCACGGCAGCTTCCGGGCCAAGAGCCGTGCAGGTTGGCCGCTGCTCAGCGGGGGAGGCACGGGAGTGAAACTGGGGTTTGGCAAGGCTCCCGGGGACCCCAAGTACCAGAGGGCGTGTCTTGGGTGATGCTTTGCCCCAGATCTGCCCCCCTACTGTTCCGGTGGCCTCTGCTGTGGGATGGCAGACTTTTATTGCTGAGCGCCACACAGAGAAACCTCGGGCAGGGGGGCCCGGCAACGGGGCGGCACGGCCGGGGCCGTCAGAGGGACTTGCCGTGCTGCAGGCGCCAGTGGGTGATGACGTTGGAGCTCTGGGTGAAGCTCTTGCCACAGTCAGGGCAGACGTAGGGCCGCTCGCCGGTGTGCACGCGCTTGTGCTTGGTGAGCGCCGAGCTAGTGGTGAAGCTTTTGCGGCACTCGGGGCAGACGTAGGGCCGCTCGCCGGTGTGCACTCGCTGGTGGGTGGTGAGGTGGGCGAACTGGCTGTAGCCCCGGCCACACTCCCCGCAGCGGTAGGGCTTCTCGGGCAGGTGGGTGCGCCGGTGCCGCAGCAGGTAGGAGCCGGTGGAGAAGCTCTTGCCACAGTCGGAGCAGGCAAAGGACTTCTCGGTGCGGTGCGTGCGCTGGTGCTTGGCCAGCAGCGAGCTGTCAGCGAAGGCCTTGCCACACACCGGGCAGGGGTAGGGCCGCTCGCCGGTGTGGGCGCGCCGGTGGATGGTGAGTGAGGAGCAGTCCCGGAAGCTCTCGCCGCAGTCGGGGCAGCGGTAGGGCCGCTCGCCCGTGTGCAGCCGCTGGTGTGTGAGGAGGTGGGAGCTCTGCCCAAAGCAGCGCCCGCACTCAGGGCAGGCGTAGGGCCGCTCGCCCAGGTGGCTGCGGCGGTGCGTCAGCAGGTTGGAGCGCAGGCTGAAGCTCTTCCCACACGCCTCGCAGGTGTTGGGGCTCGACTGTGCCGCCCCGGCGCCGCCGCCACGCTCCCGCTCGGTCTCCCGCCTCGGGGACGCGCGCCCCCTCTCCAGGCTCTCCTCCCGCCTGTCGCCTGCTGGGAGAGGAGGGTGCTCAGAGGACGGGGATGGGATGGGGGGGCGCCGACACAGGCAGCAGTGGCCCCGTGCCCACCTTGGGCGCTGACCGCACCGCACGCTGCCCAATGCTCCCAGCCCACGGGGATGAGCCCAGCCCTGTCCCGGTACCTGCCCTGGCGTCTCCCTGGCTCGCTCCTGCCTCGGGGCCACGGGTGCCTGGGTCCATGCGGGGCTGGGAGCCCTCTGTCCCCTGGGAAGAACAGAAGAGGAATCAGGGGGTAGGCTCACCCGGGATGAGAAGCTTCAGGGCTGGGGGTCTGGCAGCAGTGCAGACCCCTGGCGCAGGCCCAGCAGAGGCTCTCACCACTGTTTCCATCCGGACCGCAACAGGGTCCGACAGGCCAGAGCACAGCGAGGGGGTTGACGACGTTTCACCCCCGGAACCTGCCAGAGGCTGTGCAGGGCAGGGGGAGGCTCTGCAGGTGCTGGGGGAGCAGAAACCCCACTCCACCTGGGGTGAGTGGCCCGGGGCAGCCCGAGGACCCCTGGCCCCAAGGCTCCTCCATGAAAGGACGTGGTGGGGACACGGGGAGACCTGCCATCTGTCACAGCCTGGCTGTCCCAGCACAGTATGGGCGTCCATGCCCACGCCGAGCGGGTGGGTGGGAGGTGCAGGAAGGGGGCTGGACTAAGCGGCAGGGCTGGGGAGGGGAAGCTGGGGGACGTCATGGGAGCATCCCGCTGCCCGTGCACCCTCACCCCATCCCACCCCAGGACCTCGCCCTGGTTTTCTTCCTCCATGGCTGCTGACCCCCCCAGCCCCCTTATTCCCAGCAGCAGCGGCAAGGGGGGCTGCTGCACCCTGAGGGAGTTGGGGGCTCTCTCTGCAGGGCAGGTGTGCTGCCCCCTCAGGACTCCCTCCTCCCCTCCCCATGTTCTCCCAAGGACCCTTTTGGCTCAGCAGCCCACTTTGGACCCCCCCGGCTCCCCCAGAGTCCATCCCGTGGCCTCGCTGACCCCAGAGCGCTCACCCACTCCTCGCCACCAGCCATGACTCCCCCAGGATGGCCGCGCTCTGCTCCAAGCCACCCAGGTTCTCTCTGGCCCCTCAACAACTCTCCCAAGGTGTTTGGTTTTGTCCTTTATTGCTGTTCCGGCCGCTCAGGTACGAGTTACAGCACTTGGTACCCTTTCTGATATGTGTTTTTTTCACTTCAGCCCTACTCTCATGTTTTCCATCCTTTGGAACCTGTTTGTATCCGTTATAGGAGTCGATTGGAGAAACCTTTTCAGAGTCTGAGTGACTGGGAGCTACTGGTGGGGATTTACAGTTACTAATTAACTCTGCAGCTGGGGATATTCCAGAGAAGGGTTCGTATGGGATCTAAGTCTGCTCTGGCAGCCCCTCCTGTTCAAAGGCAGTGCTGGTGCCAGTTCAAGAGCGTGTGCAGTCTTGACAGACACAAACAGCAACAGCAGTGCGTTTTCTTTTGCAGACAGAAAACTAAAGCGCACTGTTTCTGCTGGTACTACATTTCCTTTCTACTACTTTCCCATGTAACTTCATATCATCTTAAGTTATTTATATCTAGGTAAAGGAAGGTTTGCATTCAGCCTCTTAAAATGAAGTTTAATTACTAACCTGGTCGGGTTGTCAGTGCGATGTACAGAGCTGCAGCAAAGGGGCGGGTGGCGTCACCTTTGGCGGCTGTCCTTCCTCGGGCTGGTGCTTGGCGTGCTGCAAACCCAAGCCAGAGTGGGAAGCATGCTGCCATGCCTCCGCCTCCGGGGAGGTTTTTCGTTCCCCCCGCTATTTTTTTTCTTCCCCCTGGCTGTTCTGCCCTACGTAACACAGTGACGGGCTGTGGGGAGATGGCTGCGGGTCTGGCCATGGAAGGGTGCGTGGAGGCGAAGCAGACACCCGGCGTAGAGGAGGCTCGGGCTGTGAAGCGTAACTGGTTTGTGGGATCGCAATTCCATTCAGGGGGCTTTGCGCTTTCTGGTGTCGCCTGACCGGCGGGCAGCTATTCTTGCGCGCGGGTGCGGAAGGCGAGGGCGCACCGTAACATACAGAACTTGCTCATTTTCCACCCGGGAATCCCGTGGCAGAGGCAACGGCACCGTGAAGAGAGTTGTAAAGACGTGAAGGACGGCCGCACGTCTCGCACAGAATGAAATTCTTTCTGCTGCCAGGTGCATGACCTGGCGCGGCATTTCAGTGTTACGCATCGTACCTGTCGTGACGTGTCCGTCCTCGTTGCGGCTCGCCTTTGTCCCCGCCGCGTTCCTGCAGTCTCGGAGTCGTCGTGGGTTTTGCTGTAGTTGGCCAAGGGGGTGGCAGTCACTCAGGCTCCCGTCGGCGCAGTTGATGACGGTCAGGGGCAGCCAGCACCGGCGGCACAGGCAGCGGTTTGATGTCGTGACGTGTCTACCGCACACACGTTCGTTCCCCCAGGAATCTGGGATTCCCAGAAAAAAGGGCTGGCGGAGCCAAAGTGCGAAATCCTGGAGCGACCGAGCTGGACCGAAGCCCGTGTCCGACCTCTGGTCACGCCACGATGCTCCCGTTGTTTTTCTAAGGATTTCTGACGTCCCTGGTTTCTGTTTTATTTTTTAGTACTTATTTACTTTAAAACATCTAGAATAAAAACTTAAGTAACAATTACCAGAATAGTTTTCATGAATAAATATGCCTAGACTCTAGCTATTATGCAAAACTATACAGACAGTAATTATTCCCGATTTCTATTATAAAATTATGAACAGCAAAATACAAATAATAGAGCATTAATCAGGATTAACGTGTGTAGACTAACATCTCTAGTTAGTATTAAAAAAATGAATCACAGGTGCAATGATCAAAACGTTAGAGATGTTTAGAGATGAGGCATGACTAAGTCTAATTGTAGTTATCATTCTCAATATGTACCGTAATTAAAAAAATGATGTTTAACAATCTTTTTTTAAGTGCTAAAGAGTCATTAATAGCTAAACTTAAATATAGCCATTATTAAATATATCACAAGCATTAATGATTCCCAATCAGAAACAAAATAAGAAAGTTTTAGAATTTAAAATGAAAATAGAATTAGAAAGCTAATCAGTAGCATTTAATAAGTATTGAGTATTAAGACACCGCTGTAAGTTCAGAGGCAGCGATGACTCCTTCCCAGAAATCAGTAAATAAATCTTTAGATTTTTAAATAAAGAGAAATAAAAACGAGTCATTCAGTAACAGCTGTGTTCAAATGTAGGTATTAAGAAAATTCACAGGTGGCAATGATTCTCAACCAGAACTAACAACATTAAAAGATTTAGATTTAAAATAAAATTAGAAAATTAACACAGTGGTTACGACAGCACGAACCTAAACATAACCATTTTTGGGGATGCCCCCCCCTTCCAAGTAGGGCTAAAATAAAAACAGTGCAAATTAAGTTTGATTAGTGCACAATTAAACTAAATTTAAAAAGCATTTAGAACGCTAGTTAGGTATCATTAATGCCTTATTTAATAAAGGCAACGTTAAATTTCTGTATTGACAGTGCCCAAGCAGTATCATTATAATAAAAATTTCCAGGTGTGAGGCAGAAATAAAATATTAATTGGAAACATTTTACTATCATAATATCTTCTTATAATTATGGTAATTACAGTACTCCTAATTCGGTTTCTAATTCATAACACGAAATCATGACTTAGAAGAGTAATTAACCTTTCCTTCTGCCTCGGTCTCTGCTTTCAGCGCTTCGGCTCCTCTTTCTTGCGAGCGCAGAGAACCGGAATCCTCCCCGGGCACGACTCGTTTGCTGGCTGCATTCGATAACAGCAAATTATTTAACCGGGCCGTTAAAATAACACACTACTACCCGGCGAAACAACTCGACGAGGAACACCGGCGAATGCTCCTCCTCGCCGCTGCGCGCCTGCCCCGGCCGGCAGCCGGTACTGCTCGGAGCAGCCGCAGGCGAGTCGCCCCGTGACGCCAGCCGGAGCCTCGCAATTAAAAGCTGCCCCCACCCGCACACCGCAGGGAAGCGGCTCGGAGGCAGAACCAGACGCGGCGAGAGGGACCCGCCAGCGGCAGCAACGACCGCCGGCCCCGCGCGGGAAGCCCCAAGCGCGGAGGAACGAACCCGCGGGGGCCGGGGAAAGCTGCGCCCGCGCCCCCGTCCCGTTCCCCTCCCCACCTCCACCCGTCTCTCCCCGGGGCAGTCGTGGCTCCGCGGGCAGGGGGGCGGCGGCAAGGGCCGGGCAAAGACGAGCAACCCCCTCCCCGCCCTCGCACCCGCAAACGCAGCCCGGGCTCCCACGCTAAGGCGGCTCAGGAGGGACCCCAGGATCTCGGCCTCCAGCCCACCCTCCTCCAGCCGCGGTGCTGCCCATCGCTCTGCTCTGTGG